AGAAGTAAATTATAATTAAGAAAATTTAATTATCTCCGCTATTGATTAAAACATAAGAAAATAAAACAGCGCGCGTTTAAATAGTTCGATATACATTAATGAAATGATTGTAGATTCAAAAATAAAAAATATTGAAAAAATCGTAAATTGAAGTTTTAGTATCTAAATGGAAACCTCAAAATTTTTAAATTCAAAAATTAATTATTGGTCATTAAAACTTATGAAAAATTAAAGTGCGCGTTCAAAAATATGAGAAAACATGAATCAAATAATCATCAGTTTGACAATAAAAATTGTTTTAAAAAGTGTAGATATCTAACGTAATGGCATGTAAATTACGACACTAAAATTACGTTTGATATTTTCACTTTTTTAAAACAATTTTTATCGACGAACTGATGATTATTTGATTCATGTTCTCTCATATTGTTAAACGCGCACTTTTATTTTTTATAAGTTTTTGTGGCTAATAAAGCGATAATTAATTTATGAATTTTAATATATATATATATATATATATATATATATGTTAATAAATAGAACTGTTATAATTTATTTTACAATCCCATTAACATCACACACTGATCTAAATAATGTTACAGCATAATTGACATAAATTCTGTGGTGACGCGTATCTGTGGTCGACGAATATATTGATAATGGTAAAAATTTTTCAAGTGCATCTGCAAATTACAATCCTGAATGAATTTCGGCACTGTAAATTGCACAAATGTGCAACCATTGATCATTTCTCACGAAATGATGAATAATGCAATTTTTACTGTGGAACGCTTGCCAAAGATATCACAGGCTTTCGATCGGAATGCTAACAATAAGACATATTATATGCTTGTCATCATCTTCCGGAAACCTGGACCGGATAGGTCGCATTGATGCAACAAAACTTGAAAATGATAGAATCTGGATATGCAGAAACTCTTGTCGAAGGATTTGCCATAAGATTTACACGTGTAGAATTTTTCGCAGATGTATATTTTCCTCGATACCATTTAGAAAAAGTAATAGCTGCTCACATCACCAACTAAGTTCCTGACGCCGTCGTGATTGTTCTGCACGTATTTATTGCGGATGCTGATCAAAAGTTCATATCCAATAGGACAGCTACCTATAAAATCGCGCGCCAATATGAATATTGCAGTGGATCAGCAGATTATAGTAGGTAGAGAAAATATTCCTTCATTCTTTACTTACAAGAAGCTGCAACTGTTCTCCGCTATCTTCGAATTAATTAAACATATACTTTGAATGTCTTATATTTCGATAATCCATAGTGCGGGTTTTTAATAACTTTTATTTATTTTTTTTTTTTTTTTAAACTATTCGGTTGGGTATTATGTTGAATAATCGTTTAGCGACTGCAATTCTCCATTCAGATCAAGATGAATTAATGATAGATATGTATTGCAAGATATCGTTGGATAAACATTTTCGACATTAATCGAGGTGATTCGTAATTCCTCTACAAATGTATCCAATATGTTTCGCCTTTACATTCCATATTTCATACTTCCATCTGAAAAAGGTCAGTATGTTATTTCGCGGCGGTCGAACTACGTACGTGACAACTCATGATTGAGCTTCTCATAATTAATAAAATATGATTTGCGTTAATAGTAAATTACAATTGATATAACGCCAAGGATTCTGATCAAATGTATTAAACAATATTTATGCATAATTTGTATAAATTTTGAATGTTTAATTTTTTTTTTTTTAAAACATCGTAAAAGCATTTATGTATTGCCCATGTTTTTCTTAAATCTTTCGACAACTATAAATAATTATAGACATCCTTCAAAAATAAATTGTAGAAAATTTTATCGTCAATTATAACAGAACATCAAATAGAACAAATAAAACAACATTGCAGTATATACAATTCACATATTATACTCATCGGACTCAATGGAATAGTTTAACTCTTATTGTTAGCGATAAACTAACGCTGTATATACACTGCTTAGATACTTCAAAAAACAAACAATAAAAGCTGCATTCGTATTTAGACATCGTAATTACTTTTAGCGGCGGTGCTAAAAACTTTTGCATTGTTATTTCTTCAAATGATCCGTGATTATTGCTAGAAAAGATGCTCATTTTAACATGTAAAGCATCAAAATACAATGTTAATTACTCCAGTAACTGTTCTTACCTGAATCATGTCCGCAAGTCATGCAGCAATATTTTGAAAATATGTAAATAATTTTTTTTATAATATACGCACATAAGTGATTCTTACTTTGACTGTAAATGTACATACATAGAGATTTTTGTCTATTCCGATTTTACTAGATTTATATCAAAAGTTTGTTATAATAATTATTTACTTTAAAATTTATAAGTTTTCAATCAATTAAAACTACGATCTGCAATCTTTTTACTGCTGAAAGCTGAATTTATTACGATGCGATAACAGAGAAACTCATTCAGAGAAAAGATAACATGGTACAAATTAATAAAATAATAAAGTCAATTTGGATTAGTGAATTATATAATTATTTAATAAATATGTATAAACATTTCCAAACATGTTATTTGAAAATTAAATTGTTTTTGGTTTATTTGTTTTTATACGTATAATTACTATTTCTATTATATATTTCATTATCTATTAGTGATTAATAATAAAAACATAATTTGCGCTCTGAAATATCGCATGTCCTAGATTTAAGTAATATATTCTATAATACAAAGTAACTACAAAGTAAAGGAAAAACTTAGCATTAATATAAATGAATAAATATATATTTTTAGTATTACTAAAATGTCATCTTTCTACAATGCTAGTACATGCTCAATGGTTTGATGTTTATAATAAAATTATGATCTATTTCTATATATATGGTAATTGCTGCGCTGTTCAAATATTTAAAAATTTGTCGTTGTAATTAAATATTTCGTTATATTAGCATATTATTAGAACAAGATCGTATAATATATATAACAAAACCACACATTTTGTAGCCAATTTTACACATAAAATTCAAATTTAAAGTATAAATTGAAATATAAATTAAAAAGGAGTTGTAGAAATTAATCGACTAAACTAGCGAGCAAATGATCTATTCAGCTTCACGACGTTTCGACCATGTAATTGAGGTTCCCATCAAGTGAAACAAAAGAATTCAGTTAAAGTTAAGACATTACTATAAAAAAAATATGTCAGTCACAATTTCTTAAAACTACATAAGTCAATCAATAAAGCAAAGCGAAACACCAAACATCACAATCCGTCGAAAGATCGTCAGATTCTTTTCTCGATTAATTTCTACAACTCCTATTTAAACACTATAGTGACTGCTATTAATAATTTTGGGAATTTATAAATTAAAAATATCTTCTGTGCGGGTGTTATTATCTTGAAATTTAATTTTTACTTCCTTGCGAGACTTGGTAAGACTTTTCGTGATTTTCAAAATAATCTTCTTTCAGCCCGAACCTTTTGCTGTACCTCAGACATTTATACGTTTTGGTTGGAGTGTTTAATACATTTGTGCCGCTCTAAGTTCTCTTCCTCGAAAAGTTTGCCACATTCGTCACACATTATAGATTTACTGCCGTCCGCATGCAGTTTGATGTGCTTCTGCAAATCTTGTTTCTCTCTAAATGTCGCGGCGATACGGTAGCAATCATATAAACTTCGTTGTTGAACTTCTTCGATCTTGACCACCTCGACCCTACTTGTTAATGCTTGCGCTTCAACGTCGAGCTTGAAGCTCTTGCTTTTATGTGTATTTATCTCCTAGTTGTCGGATTCAATTGTAACATTGTTATCATCATTAAGCAAATTTTGTTGTTCAATTGGTTCATTCTGTAAACAAATCTACATTTCTACGTCAGACTGGGATCCAAATATATCATCGATATTGTCGATCGATTCAACTCTACTTGTTGATGCTTGCGATGCTTGCGTGTCAATGCCGAGCTCGGAGTTGTCGGTTTTAGGTGCATTTATCGTGCGGATATCTGGTTCAAATATCTCCTGGTTGTCATCTTCAAATGTGACATTGTTATCATCATTAAGCAAATTGTGGTCTTCAATTGGTTCATTCTGAAGCCAAATCGGCATTTCTACGTCGGACTGGAATTCAAATGTATTATCGATATTGTCGGTGGACTCAACTCTACTTGTTGATGCTTGCGATGCTTACGTTTCAATGCCGAGCTCGGAGCTGTCGGTTTTAAGTGCATTTATTGTGCGCATATCTGGTTCAAATATCTCCTGGTTGTCATCTTCAAATGTGACATTGTTATCATCATTAAGCAAATTGTGGTCTTCAATTGGTACATTCTGAAGCCAAATCGGCATTTCTACGTCGGACTGGAATCCAAATGTATTATCGATATTGTCGATGGACTCAACTCTACTTGTTGAGGCTTGCGATGCTTGCGTTTCAATACCGAGCTCGGAGCTGTCGGTTTTAGATGCATTTATTGTGCGGATATCTTGTTCGAATATCTCCTGGTTGTCATCTTCAAATGTGACATTGTTATCATCATTAAACAACTTGTGGTCTTCAATTGGTTCATTCTGAAGCCAAATCGGCATATCTACGTCGAACTGGAATCCAAATGTATTATCGATATTGTCGATGGACTCAACTCTACTTGTTGAGGCTTGCGATACTTGCGTTTCAATGCTGAGCTCGGAGCTGTCGGTTTTAAGTGCATTTATTGTGCGGATATCTGGTTCAAATATCTCCTGGTTGTCATCTTCAAATGTGACATTGTTATCATCATTAAGCAAATTGTGGTCTTCAATTGGTACATTCTGAAGCCAAATCGGCATTTCTACGTCGGACTGGAATCCAAATGTATTATCGATATTGTCGATGGACTCAACTCTACTTGTTGAGGCTTGCGATACTTGCGTTTCAATGCTGAGCTCGGAGCTGTCGGTTTTAAGTGCATTTATTGTGCGGATATCTGGTTCAAATATCTCCTGGTTGTCATCTTCAAATGTGACATTGTTATCATCATTAAGCAAATTGTGGTCTGTCGAATTGGTTGCTATCTGAAGCCAAATCGGCAATTGGTTCTATCTGAAGCCAAATCGGCATTTCTACGTCGGACTGGAATCCAAATGTATCATCGATATTGTCGATGGACTCAACTCTACTTGTTGATGCTTGCGACGCTTCCACGTTAATTTTGAACTCAAAGTTTTCACCACGTTGTCGATTCGTAGATGGATTTTTCTCGGAATGTTCAATTTGTTTTGAGAGGTTTAATTGGAAATTCAAGCTTTCGTGAAGTGCCACCTGCAGTTGATAATTTTTATATTTAATTGCCTGAACATTTGCAGCCTCATCTACATCGATCGAGAACTCAATTGCTCGTTCGTCGCGTTGTTGATTTGTACGGTTTTTCTCGAAATGTTCAAATTGTCTTAACTGGTCCCTCAGTTCCTCGAGAACTAACTCCCCTCGTTCAAATAGTTCAATGTCTTCCATTATTTCATCTATTGTTTTATAAGTACGTTTATAATATCCATCGATCGATAACTCAATTGCTCGTTCGTCGCATTGTTGATTTGTAGGCGGATTTTCCTCGGAATGTTCAATATGTTTAACGTAGTCAATTTTATCTATTATAGATATATTCTCGTTAGAGACAGACAGAAGTTCCTCTTTTTTTTCAAATATCACTTTGTCACGTTTGGACAGCAATTCGCGGTCATTATCGCATTCTAATATCTTATTTAACTCGGGCTCGCTTCGTCTTGATTCTTGCGAGTCTTTCTGACGTTCGAGATTAATTTCTAAACTGGAGCCTTCATAATGTTGCTCAACCTGCGACAAATTTTCTTTGGGGTGCTTTACTCGTATGTAGTGATACAAATGTTGCTGCCTCTTGCAACATCTGTTGCATTTGTCGCATCTGTGATTTTTCTCGTCTTTATGCACCATTTTGTGCGTCAATAATTGGCTCGCCGAAGCATATTTCTTACCGCAAACATTGCACTCAAACGTTAAATTGTTTGTATGTATCATATAGTGTTCTTTAAAGCGATCACAGCTTTTAAAAGATTTCTCGCAAATATTACACCCCACGGTATTAATTTTGTGTGTCGACAGCAAATGTTCATACAATTTGTATACAGAATCGAACTGTTTGTTGCATTCCTTGCAAAAATATATCTCATGTTTGCAGGTTTTCAAATGCTCATCCTGCGACAAATTTTTCTCGGGGTGATTTTTTCGTTTGTGCACATTCAAATATTTCTTAATTTTGTAACACTTTTTGAATTTGTCGCATCTGTAATTTTTCTCGTTCTTATGCATCATTTCGTGTTCCGATAATTTCTGCTTCGTGGCATATTTCTTACCGCAAACATTGCATTTAAACGGTAAATTGTCTGCATGTATCATATAGTGTTCTTTAAAGCGACGACAGCACTTAAAAGATTTCTCGCAAATATTACACTCCACGGTATTAATTTTGTGTGTCGACAGCAAATGTTCATACAATTTGTATACAGAATCGAACTGTTTGTTGCATTCCTTGCAAAAATATATCTCATGTTTGCAGGTTTTCAAATGCTCATCCTGCGACAAATTTTCCTCGGGGTGCTTTTTTCGTTTGTGCTTATCCAAATTTTCTTCGGGCTGCTTCTTTCGTTTGTGCTTATCCAAATTTTCCTCGGGGTGCTTTTTTCGTTTGTGCGCATCCAAATTTTTCTTCCATTTGTAACACTTTTTGCATTTGTCACATCTGTAATTTTTCTCGTCCTTATGCATCATTTCGTGCTCCGATAATCGCCACTGCACGGCATATTTCTTACCGCAAACATTGCATTTAAACGGTAAATTGTCTGTATGTATCATATAGTGTTCTCTAAAGTGACTACATTTCTTAAACGATTTCTCACACTTATCACACTCCACGATATTAACATTGTGTGTCAACAACGAATGTTTATACAATTTGTATACAGAATCGAACTGTTTTTTGCATTTCTTGCAAACATATATCTCATGTTTGCAGGTTTTCAAATGTACTTCTAGGTCTTGTGAAGCATTGAATGTTTGAGAACATTTAGAGCATACTAACTTATTTTTTATTAAGTGTTCGCGTCGATGTCGACCGTAATTACTTATTGTTTGAAATTCTTCATTACAGATATCGCAAATAAATATCTTCTTTTCTGCGCTCGGTTGTCTAGTTGAACTGGAAGCTTCATCCTCTGTGTTGTCGTCACTGTTTAATTTTTCCATTTGTCTAGAGAGATTGGAACCTTTGTCCTCCGAACTTTCGTCATTTGTTGATTCTTTTATTTGTCTAGAGGGACCGGGTTTCACATTTTCTTCATTCGGCTTGTCACTTTTTGATTTTTTTATTTTGAGGAAAGAATCTATAATTGACGGTGAAGCTTCAATAGACTGATCCTTATTAATGTTATATGTAAGAAAGATGTTACTTTTTGAATCAAATTTATTTGGTACCTGTGTTTTTTCTGCAAGTATATCGTAACTATACCAGAGCAATTATGTCAGTTGATTAATCGTGATTAATCTGATATCTAAAATTAAAGAGTAAAAAATAATTATAAACATATATATATATATATATTATTAAACATTATTTTAGTACAAATCTTTATTACATCAATGTAATCTACGACGATCTATCAATTATTATTAAATAATGAATCTATTAAAATCAAACATAAAATAAGATTATGTTATCAAAAACAAACATTTATATTGTCATAATAATTAATTCAATTCTGTTTACTTTTTATTGTTTGATAAAAATTTCACATATACAATTATATATTTATAATAAACTTTTATGAATAATATTTATACATTACATATAAATATAAATATATATATATATACATATATATATATATATATATTATATATAATCATGAAATAATCTTTATATATTCTTTATATAATATATTAAATATAAATATAATTTTTATTAAATATATTGTTAATATAATTTTAAAATATAATTTAAAAAAATTTAAATGTTTGAATTATAAATGCAATTATATTGTAAAAATATATTTCCCATTTATTAGAAAAAATGTCTTTTGATGAAGCAAATATAAAAATTGATGGTAGTTGAATTATTAAAAACGGCACCTTGCACTCCCTTTATTATTATTTCTTACAATAAAAAGACTATTAGAATGCCAAGATAATTAAAAATAATAAATAACTGTAATTGTGAAAAAAAAAATTAATGTCAAAATAATATACATAAAAATAATTTTTTATTTTATGCTTCAATTTTTGAGTTATGATTCATATTTCAGTAGAAAAAAGAAAGAAACCAATGGAAAACATTATGTATTAAATAATTAGATAAAAATATCCTTTCTAAATATAAAAAATTTTATCTAAATATAAAAATTTTAGTTTTAGGTCTCTTTTTAAGAAAAGATAATATTTAAAAAGATTCTAATTGTATTTATAGAGAAAACAGTAGAATATAATATGTATTTAAAATGAAAAATAATAAAAAAGCAAAAAAAAAACGAGAAACCGTTTTTAATGACATATCTACTCATGTTCTTTGTTATATTAAATTTTATATTTATTAAAAAAAGTTATTAATAAACAAACAAATAAAAAAGTAAAGAAAATCAAATTCTTAACCTTATAATTTTTAATAAACAATTATAAGTATAATTACTGATTTCCATATCACAAAAAACTCTTTTTTTATATATACAATATATATATATATATATATATAATATTTTTATTATAAACACATGACCATGTAAGATATACTTCAAAACAATTAAAACCTCGAAGATATAAAAATGTGTTCGATCTATTTGGTTGTTTATATTTTTCTTTAATAATTTTAAATTATTTTCTTATATATAATATTTAAATCTACTTACAGTTTTTCTTTGATCAGCTTTTTACTACTTTTATTTAACAAATTTGTCAGCAATATTTGATGTCAAATTCTAAAATTCAAAATATTAAACAATATTGCTATTTCATGTAAAAATTCTATATAATATTATCTTAAGAGCATTTAAATCAAAGCGTACCTTTCACTTTATTGTTTTAATGATAATTGTGAAAAAATCTAAAAAATATTACAATATTAAATATAATAAAAAATTATATCCAATATAAATAATTTGCGCATAATTTACCTTTTTACATGATTTTTTTAAATCTGTGTCTTATTTGTACGTAACTGTTGATTTTTTCCTTCGCATATCTCGATTATCTGTAGATTGTTTTTCACCACCTTTACTTGAAGATTTTATTCAAATGTGTTAAGATTTTGCTGTTCTGAATCAGGAATTCGCACAGATACGTATTGTAAAAGACAATGGTGATACAGTAATTTATTTCGTAATTTCTAATAATCTCGTTTCTCTTTAACCGACACAATGTTGCAGCGTGTATAATCGCCTTTGATTTGACTAATACAAACTTTGCTGGTCTGTACTGTGTATAATGTAAAATATGTTTTATCCGGACGTATTCGCAGATAAACATTAAATACTGGTAATGTTTATGTGTGTGTTTTTATGAGAGTTACTTCGCAGCAACCAGACTAGTTTAAAAAATAGAATCTCTTATGATTAGCAAAGAATAATTATATCTTCTATCAGAATGAAAGTCTGTAAAAATTGTTATTATATGTTAAAATTGCTAATCAGGATGGATCAGACAATATCAGTTTCAATTCATTATTAATACGAAAACGATAGCTGCATATACAGGCGTACGGTTCTCTAATTAATTCTACATTGAATCACACGTTTTCGGTGATACAATGTTTTTGACTCGTTCCATCGCAATTTTCGTACGATTCAGATGACGTACATTCTAATGTGAAATTTATCTTTGAAAGACACACTTTTAAAGCATTTCAGCATTGCAGATGTTTCTCTTAAATGTTGGAAATATTATAGATAATTATAGACAGTCTTGAAATTCAAATATCATAAAATCGGAATATTAATTAAAATAGCAATGTTATACACAACTCAAACACAATGCTGCGGGTACAATCGACATATTCCGTTTATTAAATGCATTAAGATTGAATGACTAACGTGTTATATGCGATGCACATAGAGAGATATTTCGAAAAACACAAAAAATTCCTCTTTCATATTTACATCTTCTAGAAATCTATACTACTTTATAAATTACATTTGCATTTCTTCTTCAGTTCAGATACCACGTGCCATCGCTGATTGATAAGAATGCGTTGGTGAAGAGAGATGCACATCTTAACACATAGAACATTAAATACGTCAATATTTTCAGTACCTGCTTTTATCTGATTTGTGCGTGCAAATCATGAGTGCGACAATATTTTAAACAATAGTATTTTAGCTAACAAGTGCGGGGGATCGTAAATAGGCCGAGAGTGCGAAAGTTTTAGCACACGAGGCGTAGGCGAGTGTGACAATCCGCACGATCGGCCGATTTATGACCCACACATGTTGGTCACGGTATTTTGTGTGACCGGTGCGTGGAAAGGGAGCCCTTTCTAAAATTCCATCATGTGCGTAAAGGGCGACCTTGCACAAAAATAATTATTGAGATTTGCCGTGCACGCGTAAAAAATTGTTTCTTGCGTATCCGTAACTTTCGAAATATATGTATATATTGTACATATAGGTTTTTTCACAGAAAAAGAATAAACATTGTAAAAATATAAAAAATCCAATTATTTATTATTTATACAAACGAAAAGTTCTACACAGAAAAAATCACAATAAAAAATGACAAAATATCAATTATCGATGTATTATACTAAAAAACTAGCAAAAAATATTTTATTTCAATATTTAGATAGTACATTATCTGCAGATTACAATCAAGAACATACCAACTTACAAAATCTTCCGTTTAAAACATATAATAAAAATATGCGCCGTATGGAGACAGAAAAATAATGTTGACTTTTAGTACTTTAGAACCAGGTAAATATACATTATTTATATATTTTAATAGTTCAAAATAATTGAAAAAGACGTGACAAAACGCAAATTATAGAAATAAATTATAATTAAGAAAATTTAATTATCTCCGCTATTGATTAAAACATAAGAAAATAAAACAGCGCGCGTTTAAATAGTTCGATATACATTAATGAAATGATTGTAGATTTAAAAATAAAAAATATTGAAAAAATCGTAAATTGAAGTTTTATTATCTAAATGAAAACCTCAAAATTTTAAAATTCAAAATTTAATTATCGCTTTATTAGTCACTAAAACTTATGAAAAATTAAAGTGCGCGTTCAAAAATATGAGAAAACATGAATCAAATAATCATCAGTTTGACAATAAAAATTGTTTTAAAAAGTGTAGATATCTAACGTAATGGCATGTAAATTACGACACTAAAATTACGTTAGATATTTACACTTCTTTAAAACAATTTTTATCGAACTGATGATTATTTGATTCATGTTCTCTCATGTTATTAAACGCGCACTTTTATTTTTTATAAGTTTTTGTAACTAATAAAGCGATAATTAATTTATGAATTTTAATATATATATATATATATATATACATATGTTGATAAATACAACTGTTATAATTTATTTTACAATCCCATTAACATCACACACTGATCTAAATAATGTTACAGCATAATTGACATAAATTCTGTGGTGACGCGTATCTGTGGTCGACAAATATATTGATAATGGTAAAAATTTTTTAAGTGCATCTGCAAATTACAGTCCTGAATGAATTTCGGCACTGTAAATTGCACAAATGTGCAACCATTGATCATTTCTCACGAAATGATGAATAATGCAATTTTTACTGTGGAACGCTTGCCAAAGATATCACAGGCTTTCGATCGGATGGCTAGGGCATATGCTTGTCATCATCTTCCGGAAACCTCGGCCGGATAGGTCGCATTGATGCAACAAAACTTGAAAATGATAGAACCGATGGATATGCAGAAACTCTAGTCGAAGGATTTGCCATAAGATTTACACGTGTAGAATTTTTCGCAGATGTATATTTTCCTCGATACCATTTAGAAGAAGTAATGGCTGCTCACATCACCAACTAAATTCCTGACGCCGTCGTGATTGTTCTGCACGTATTTATTACGGAAGCTGATCGGAAGTTCATATCCAATAGGACAACTACCTATAAAATCGCGCGCCAATATGAATATTGCAGTGGATCAGCGGATTATAGTAGGTAGAGAAAAGATTCCTTCATTCTTTACTTACAAGAAGCTGCAACTGTTCTCCGCTATCTTCGAATTAATTAAACATATACTTTGAATGTCTTATATTTCGATAATCCATAGTGCGATTTTTTTATAACTTTTATTTATTTTTTTTTTCAAAACTATTCGGTTGGGTATTATGTTGAATAATCGTTTAGCCACTGCAATTCTCCATTCAGATCAAGATGAATTAATGATAGATGTGTCTTGCAAGATATCGTTGGATAAACATTCTCAACATTAATCGAGAGGATTCGTAGTCTCTCTACAAATTGTATCCAGTATGTTTTGCCTTTACATTCCATACTTCATACTTCCATCTGAAAAAGGTCAGTATGTTATTTCGCGGCGGTCGAACTATGTACGTGACAACTCATGATTGAGCTTCTAATAATTAATAAAATATGATTTGCGTTAATAGTAAATTGCAATTGAAATAACGCCAAGGATTCTGACCAAATGTATTAAACAATATTTTTTGCATAATTTGTATAAATTTTGAATGTTTAATTTAATTTTTTTAAAACCATTGTAAAAGCATTTATGTATTGCCCATGTTTTTCTTAAATCTTTCGACAACTATAAATAATTATAGACAGCCTTCAAAAATAAATTGTAGAAAATTTTATCGTCAATTATAACAGAACATCAAATCAAACAAATAAAACAACATTGCAGTATATACAATTCACATATTATACTCATCGGACTCAATGGAATAGTTTAACTCTTATTGTTTGCGATAGACTAACGTTGTATATATGCTGTTTAGGTACTTCAGAAAACAGACAATAAAATCAGCATTCGTATTTAGACATCATAATTACTTTTATTGGCGGTGCTAAAAACTTTTGCATCGTTGTTTCTTCAAATGACCCGTGATTATTGCAAGAAAAGATGCTCATTTTAACATGTAAAGCATCAAAATACAATGTTAATTACTTCAGTAACTGTTCTTACCTGAATCATGTCCGCAAGTCATGCAGCGATATTTTGAAAATATGTATATAATTTTTTTTATAATATACGCACATAAGTGATTTTTACTTTGACTGTAAATGTACATGCATAAAGATTTTCGTCTATTCCAATTTTACTAGATTTATATCGAAAGTTTGTTATATTAATTATTTAATTTAAAATTTATAAGTTTTCAATAAAATTAAACTACGATCTGCAATCTTTTTTCTGCTGTAATCTGAATTTATTACGATGCGATAACAAAGAAACTCAATCAGAGAGGAGATGACATGGTACAAATTAATAAAATAATAAAGTCAATTTAGATTAGTGTAAATTATATAACTATTTAATAAAGATGTATAAACATTTCCGAACATTTCCAAACTTGTTATTTGAAAATTAAATTGTTTTTGGTTTATTTGTTTTTATACGTATAATTACTATTTTTATTATATATTTCATTATTTATTAGTGATTAATAATAAAAACATAATTTGCGCTCTGAAATATCGCATGTCCTAGATTTAAGTAATATATTCTATAATACAAAGTAACTACAAAGTAAAGGAAAAACTTAGCATTAATATAAATGAATGAATATATATTTTTAGTATTACTAAAATGTCATCTTTCTACAATGCTAGTACATGCTCAACAGTTTGATGTTTATAATATATAAAATTATGATCTATTTCTATATATAATTGCTGCGCTGTTCAAATATTTAAAAATTTGTCGTTGTAATTAAATTTTTCGTCATTAGCATATTATTAGAACAAGATCGTATAATGTACATAACAAAACCACACATTTTGTAGCCAATTTTACACATAAAATTCAAATTTAAAGTATAAATTGAAATATAAATTAAAAAGGAGTTGTAGAAATTAATCGACCAAACTAGCGAGCAAATGATCTATTCAGCTTCACGACGCTTCGACCATGTGATTGTGGTCCTCATCAAGTGAAACAAAAAGAATTCAATTAAAGTTAAGACATTACTATAAAAAAAATATGTCAGTCACAATTTCCTAAAACCACATAAGTCAATCAATAAAGCAAGCGAAACACCAAACATCACAATCCGTCGAAGGATCGTCAGATTCTGGTCAATTAATTTCTACAACTCCTATTTAAACACTATAGTGACTGCTATTAATAATTTTGGGAATTTATAAATTAAAAATTTCTCTGTGCGGGTGTTATTATCTTGAAATTTAATTTTTAAATTCATGATGTTAAAATTAGATTGTTTAATTATTAGTTGTCACTAAAGTAATGATTACAATTATTATGTATGAATATGTCTGCACATATAAAAATATGTGTACGTCTGCACATGTACATATGTACACACATTGTCTTCTTAATAAAACTTATAATTATTATTAATACCAATTATATATACAAACAATAGTGTAATTTAATTTATAATTATCATTAATATTACATATATTATAAATCAATAATTACTATTTATCAGAATAATAATAATTATTAGTATAACAACAAATTAATAGATAAAAATATAATAATTAAATTATAACAACGTAGTGTTATTATCCGAATTTAAAACAGAGGAGATGTTATAATTATTCAATTTGTATTTACGAGCAAACAAACATTCTATGTGACAAAATTGTACTATATATAATTTTCTTTTGCATATCTATATTCAAAATTATCATCTTTTCGTATCTCATCGTTAACGTTATTTGGTTTGTAAAGTATATAATTAAAATATATATAAATCTATATACTTAAACGAATCATATTTTACATACAGGATAAATGTTAATGAGATACATCCTAAAATAAAAAGAACGATTTTAAATATTGAAAAATAGAAAATTGCAGATATTTATATATATATATATATATATATATATATATATTTATTTATATTTACATATTAAATAAATAAAAATTTAATTTATAAATATAAATTGAAATTATATATAAATATATTTAATTATATATAAATATAAATTTAAATATATATAAATTTAATTTTATAAATTTAATTATATAAATTTAATTATACATAAATATAAATTTAATATATATATATATATATATATATATATGTTTGTGTACAAACATCCATATATTTCTGAAGTAGTATTATGCGATTATATAAAATTATAAGTAGAGGAATAATTTTTTATTTTATATATAGAAGAAGATTCAAATTATTATAATGATGATAATATATATATATATATATATATATATATATATATATGTGATATATGAATATATATATGAATGTATATATATGAATATATATATATATATATGTATATACGTGTATATATTTGTATGTAGATATCTACACAACGAGAGAATTTCTATTGATATGAAAATTATCATGCTTACACAATATATTTAGTTATTCAAATAATAAAATTAAAATATTTTTTATGTCCTCATTTGTTTGTTTATACATTACTTTTTTTTAACAAATATCAAATTGTAAATAAATAATTTATATAAATTATAATATATGTATATATTAAGTAATGTATCATTATTATATGAAACTCTTTTTTCTTCCAATTAATAAAAAAAATTAATTTTACAATATAATTGCTTTTATAATATAATTGAAATTAATAATTATATACATAAATAATTAAGAATTATATAATTAATATAATTAAAACTTTTATAAAATTATTTTCATATATATGCCTATATATATGTAATATATAGGTAAATATTATTTACAAAAAGTTATTATAAATATGCATATAATAATTTTATATGTAATATACTTATCAAATAACAGAATGTAAACAAAAGTGAATTAATTTGCTTAATGATGATATATATATATATATATATATATATATATATATATATCGCTCGAAAGGTCTCTGGTTCGATTCCCGATTCAGCGACTTTCGGATCTATATTTTTCTCTTGCATTTATTTATTTCCGTAGGGGGGTTAAAGAATTATTGAAATTAAATCTCAAAGATGAAATTATTTCATATTTTAAAATCTTGGCAGTGACCAAGTAAAATTTGGTGCCTTGTGCACAGATGTTTAATTCTAATGAAAAAATTTAGTTTCGTTAGGATAACGCACTGTCTTCCGCGATCGGCTCTTATTGCCTGTCTTATACTTTAAATTTATAAAATATTTTAAATATTAAAAATATCTGTGACCTTGTTTGATACACATTTTTTTCCGATAATTTTTAAATATTTTCTTCAATCTACTTACAGTTTTTTTATCAGCTTTTTTCTAGTTTTTTAACTTTGCAGCAAAGTTTGATGTTAATATCCAAAATTATAAAATATTACACAGAATCTTGTCATTATCCACGTGATCATTCTATGTACTATTTTCTTGATGACTTCAAAGCACACCAAACATCAATTTTTATTTTTTTGTTTTAATCATAATTATCTAAAACAAAAGAATAATCTCAGAAATAAATATTTCTATCGGCTCTCAATATAAACAATATAAATATAATGTTTTCTAAATCGGCCACAGAGCCAAAGCACGAAAAATTACGAAAAATTAATTCTTCGGAACTGTATCTCTTGGTACGAGATTACTAAAGTACCTATTATATCATATATATACATTATACGTCTATATATAATAACATTTCAAATATTCGCGCTTCCCATATATAGTTCCCAGTCTGAGCAACTTCTCGAATAATCGGATCCTAAACTGCGGTCCGAAATACGCTTACAGCGCTGTAAGCATCATCTGTCTTCGTTTTACAACGAATATCAAACGAAGATAGAGCGATATGCTTTCAGCGCTGTAAGCGCATTCAGACCGCATCTGTTCTTTTCAGCTGAACTGGCTACACTAAGTTCAGAATTTATCTCTTTCCTTCCAATGTGGAGCAAAAAAGATAAATTTTGAACTAGTTAACCAGTTCAGCAGGAAAGATCCCAAAGATGGTTATTTCACCATACGTCTGCACTGATGTTGATATGCTGCGTCTAATGTCTGGCGTCCTATGGCGTCCTATGGCATTCCATGTTTTTAAAGGCCAAAACCTATTTTCAGTATCGCTCGGGGAACTGCCGAACGGCTGTGAATGCGGATGAAAAATCGGAGAAAAGTGTCGAACACTGTTCCTACGTCAAGTATCATTCACGAAATCTGTTTTGCTACATTGGTCAACGCGTTTCGGCCGAAGTTGCGCAGTGAACGAACTCTCGGACTACTCGACGACGTGATCCCGTGCCGGACACGTGGTCGTCGTCTTCGTCGGCATGGAATCCAAAAACGTGGCGATGCTGGAATCCTCCGGCGAGGACACCATTCTAGTCGAGACCGTGAAGAATATAGTGACGCAACAGGAATGCAACGAGTTGGAGACCGAGGATTTCTTTCTGGCTTCTTCGCAGGACCAGGGCGAGCGATTCTCTGGAGAGAATGTCGAGGAAACGAAGCAGGAGACGAAAGAGATCCTCGCGTGGATACACTTCTGCAGGACGTGCGCCAATTCCTGCGATAATCTGATACCCATTTTCAAGGGCGAAGGAACGGAGCACGACTTGCCTAGTAAAATACTCAAGTACTTGCCGATACACGTGTGTAGAGTATACTTAATAAAGTGCAGTTTTAAGCACTCGACTGTCTCGGTAAAGACATATTATTTATACGCTATTATTTACTCCACAGGTATCTGAAAGCGATACTCTGCCATTGCAATTGTGTCATCATTGCGCAGACACGTTGCTGGCCTGGCACGATCTAAGCGAGGGATGTCTAAGTGCGGAGAAGAAGCTGCTGAAAATGCAAGAAACGTTGCAAAATAAACAGCAGGTAAATTAGATGTGATTGTTAACGAAAATCTATTTAAAATTAAATTTTAATATACTATTACTGCAATTTAAGATGTAAGATAAAAGAAGATAAAACATAATTTTTATTGCAGTAGAACAACAAGCGCGCTACACATAGGTACATGCACCATTCTTGTAGTTTATGTTAAACAGAATAATTATTTTCAAAAAAATAATATAAAGTTTGTTTTAACTGAATTAATATTTATTGACAGAAATCAGCTGATAACTATCAAAAATATTAATCCAGTTTAAAGACAACATATTATCTAAAACATTATTTTAATTTTTATAACATATTACTATTTTAAAAATTAATTAGCAAATTAACGCTTTAATCAGTTGATTTCTATAAAAAAATATCAATTGAGTTTAAACAAACTTTATATTATTTTTTTTGAAAATATTCTTTTAAACATAAAATCAAAGAAAGGTGCGCGCTTGTGTTGTTCTAATTTTAATATAAAATTGGAGTTCTAATGAATATTAAAATCTATTTAGAAAAAGAATAGAGCTGGTAAGGAGCAGACAAAGGATTTCTTAATACATGTATTAATTAATCCGCGCGGAGTCGTAAATAATCATAATTGTTTTATTCCCATAGTTTAATGGAAAAATTGTGGTATCGGAGATGCATTGCAATCCGTATGTCATACTGACTTTCCTGATTTAAAAACCATATAAAGACCACGTGGAGTCCGCGCGGAGTTATCGAGCAATGACCATTAAATCCAATAGAAAAATTGAAATTCGTCGACTCGCAAAATAAGCTCGTCTTATTGGCGAAACATCGCTTTTTATTGGCGTTTCGGATCTTCTTCTCGTGTCTTTTTCGCTCTTCATCGCGTCTCATTCTTTCTCGCGTATCTCTAACTCCTTATATGGCATGTCCGCGCGGACTCGAGTGACTTTTTCTCGCATCTTTCTCTATTTCTTCGCGTACATCCTTCTTGCGCGCTTTAATTCTTTAAAAGGCTTACTCGAGCTCGAGCTTCGCGCGGCCTTACTGAAACTCGATACGCCGATAAAATCTAAAAAAGATATGCCGACATTTCCTTTGCAATTTTTAGTTGCCGCACATCACACTTCGCACTTCGAGGTGTGAAACTACATGCCGAGCTGTCATCGAGTTTCTTATCGTTGTGATTTATGTCTTCATTCTGTTACTCGTACTTTCTTTCATTCACGTAGTTATACTCACACACGCGATTATAACGTCGGTGTTGCGAGCATTGATGTTTCGTTTCTTCCATTCATATTCTTTTGGTATCCTCGTTTTTCTCGCGTTACTACAGGGTTTGTCCGGAAAGTAATGCGTCGCATTTTTTTGTGACGCGACTATACATCGCAGAGCGATGGGACCGGTTGGGGAGGAAGGGGGGTACCCTTAGCTTTCCAACGGTAGGTCGCTCAATTGTTTCCATGCGCTTGGAGGGTTAGGACGGCTTATTCTGTGAACCTCTGCTTAGTGGTCGCGTCGAACTTGTGATGGAGAGAACGATAGAGCAACGCTATGCGATAAAGTTTTGCGTGAAGCTGGACAAGACGCCGCTGGAAACTTTTGAAATGCTCAAGAAAGTTTTCGGGGACGATTGCCTTTCCAAATCGCAGTCAAACAGATGGCACAAGATGTTTAGAGAAGGTCGGAAGGAGGTCGCCGACGAGGCCCGCGCAGGACGCCCGTCAACATCGCGAACGGACGACAATGTGACTCGTGTGCGCCAATTATTGAATTCAGACCGTCGAATGAATGTTCGCTTAATGTCGGAATTATTGAACTTGCCGAAAACGATTGTTCACGAGATTGTATCGGAAGACTTGGCCATGCGGAAGATTTGCGCAAAACTTGTGCCCAGAGTGTTGACCGATGCGCAAAAGCAACACCGAGTGGAAGTTTGTGAAGAACTCAAGCAACTCTGTGCAGATAATCCCAATTTCCTGAACAACGTTATCACTGGGGATGAGTCATGGGTCTTTCAGTACGATCCGGAGTCAAAGAGGCAGAGTGCGGCCTCTTTGACTCCGGATCGTACTGAAAGACCCATGGCACACGACGTACAAGCTACTTCGACGGCCTCCCTGAACAGCATCCCAGTCAAGGAGTTCCAGAAATCTTATGACGCATGGAAATCGCGTTGGCAAAAATGTATTGACGCAGAAGGGTCATACTTCGAACAATTTTAAGTTGTTTTACCTATGCGATCAATAAATTCTTTTTTAAAAAAATGCGACGCATTACTTTCCGGACAAACCCTGTATTATATATACCTAAATTATAAATGTATATATAATTTATATTAAACATTCCTTTCTCATTTTTTTGCATTTTGACACACAATATATATACTAATTATATATTTTTTTTAATTTTGCAGTATTACTCTACATCTTTGGATAATTTAAAAGTCACAACAACTCCTACTGTTGTGTCAAGCACAACAAATTCACAAGTAAGTATATAATAAATCATTACAATAAAGTATTGTAAAATATAATTTCTATGTATTAAGATATTAAATTTAATTTCTTTATTGCAGTCTGATCAGCAAACCGATGAGAAAAATAAAGCGCATAGTACAGAAGAAATTAATAACTCTAATAGGTAATGATTTTATATTCTCATAATTTATATATGACAATTAGCACAAAGTTTTTTCTCTCACTGCTTGTTTATGTAAATTTAATTTTGCTTATAATCGCTACAAGTATACTTTTATATAAGTATCATTACTTGTTAAATATTTTCTGTACGTCTTACGAAAAGTTGGAGATATGTTCGATCTGACATTGAATATACGTAACGCGTTATAATCGATGACTCAATCAATTAATTAAAAGAAAAAAAAGAACAATTTGCCGGCGTGGGGCACACCAAGAAAATTTTTGCGACAACGTAATGAAAGATTCCGAGCAAAGCATATAAAGAAAAAAGCAGTACCGAACGATCGGAGGTTGGCTTTAAAGATTATATCCAGAAAAACAAGCGCCGAAAAAATAATCGACTCAAAAATCGACGATCGTCCGCCGCAAGTGCGAAACCATGGAGTCAAGTTTCGGCTATTTTGCAGGTCATGCGGCGTCCGGACACCGTTTAAAGTGTCCTCGGACACGCAGAATGCATTTTGGAAGCCATACAGGAAACGATGCCAACCGAGAGTGCGGAACCTAAAAAAGCCCGAAAATGCAGCGAGCGAGGACTGCGATCCGATTTGTGTCGCCGTAATGGACACAGCGCATCAGCCGTCCGTCATGTCTGAACAACTGAAAAATAACGATCCCTTGAGGTTGACATCCAAGGTGAAGAAAGAGCACATCGCCACGGAACGTTCTATAAAAGACGCTAATCGCGAGAACAAACCTTACCGAACAATCGCGTGCGAGATGGAGAAGCTTCAGCTAGATCGAATCTCGGACAACCAAATGGATAAGAATCTGTGCAAGACCAGCAAAGCGTTGCAAAAGGAGGAATCTTTTTTGTGCGCCGAGTGCGGCAAGTGTTTCAGATTAAAGGATTCGTATTTGCGCCACATGAGGATCCACAAGGACGAGCGACCGTTCACTTGTCACGTATGCGGTAAGCAATTTCGCGATTCCGGTGGATTGACCAGGCACTTGAAAGACGTGCACGCGAAGGTGAAGAACTTTATGTGCGACCTGTGCGGAAAAAAGTTCGCGTCCAAGGCCACGCAAGAGGATCATCGGCGCACTCATACCGGTGAACGCCCATTTGTCTGCGACTCCTGCGGCAAAACCTTCAAATCCAAGGCGTCCCTCTATATCCACAGCAAACTTCACACCAACGAGTTCCCGCACGTATGCTCGTATTGTACCAAAGGGTTCCGTCGACGGCAGGAGGTGCTGGCTCACATAACTACTCATACGGGCGAGAAGAATCACACGTGCGACATATGCACGAAGAAATTCCGAGTCAAGTCCGAACTGGCGCGACACAAGCTTATTCACTCCGAGAACAAGCCGTTCGTCTGCATCAAGTGCGGTCTCGCATTTCGACAAAAGCGCTATCTGAACAATCACATTAAGAGCCGGCACAATGAATCTCTGCGAGCGTCTTAACGAGAAGATATGTGCTTAGCGATAACAACTTGCGCTGGACGCAATGTCGCTCTCCTCTTCTCTTTAGCTTTCTCTTCAGCATCATCCCTGGGAGAAAAACCGATTCAAACCTGCTGCCTTTGTTGTTTTTCCCGTATATGAGCCGGAAATGGAAAAACATCTTATGTGATTGTCGCTCTTCCTGTAGTATTGCTCTAGAGACAAATAATGTTATGATAAAGTACAAAAATAATTCGGCGCAAAGTTCGACATTGATTGCAGAAAATGCTAGAGAAATCTCAGAAAGAAAGACACGCAATTTGCTGCAATATTGTAAGATACGATGAAAAAGGAGATTCAAATGCCTGAAACTATTAATCAATAATCTTACAATCAACGAATGAATCTGTAAAAACGGGCTACATTTATGATACCTGTCAATACATCTACAAACGAAAGTATCATCTAATACATCATCATATGAGGTTTCGTAATGCGTTCGGCCGCTGCAAAGTAACAGGCTGACTCTCTTTTCAGATGGACGTGTCGAGTATCGAATGAGAAGGCGAGACATATTGAAGACAATTCGCAAAGGGACTACGAATCCGATATGGAAGGATTCTCGATTAATGTCGAGAAAGTTCATTCAATGATATCCAGCAAGAAATCTCCATCATTGATTGATCTCGATAATCTCAACGGAAGATTGGAATCGCGAAAGGACCTGGACAGCTCCGAAAAAAAACAGAAAGAGAAAAGACATCGAAAGACTCACACGATGGATCCTCGAGACAATATAGGACGATGTGAACGAACATCGAAAGTTAAACACCCGGAATTAGCTCGCTCGAAGATGACGAAGAAGGAGTGCACTTCTTACAAGTGTAAAGAATGCGGAAAAATTCTCTCTACCTCGTATAATCTACTGATCCACCACAATATTCACACCGGCGCGCGACCCTATAATTGTCCTACCTGTGACAAGAGCTTCCGATCGGCGTCCGGCATGAATAGGCACGTGCGCAACGTCCACGACGGCATCAAGAATTTTATTTGCGACGTGTGCGGCCGCGGTCTCGCCTCAAGGGCATCGAGGGACGAACACAGACGCACCCATACCGGCGAGAGACCTCACTCGTGCGAGATCTGCGGCAAATCCTTCAAACAGAAGGCGTCCTTACACGTCCACCGGCTCTATCATTCCAAAGTTTTGCCGTATCATTGCGAGCAGTGCGGCCGCGGTTTCCGCAGGAGGCAAGAATTAGACAAGCATGCGTCCTGGCATTCCGATCGAAAACCTTATACTTGCGATATCTGCGACGAGCGTTTCCGTAGCAAGAATTGCGTTATTCGTCATCAACGTATTCATAATGATCAACGATCACATATTTGCATCATTTGCAGCGCCGGATTCACCCAAGAACGTTATTTGAAAAGGCACTGCGAAAACTCTCATAAAAACATGCACACGTAGACTTTAAAGGAATTTATTATTCATTTGTAGTTTATTTGTCTGGAAAAGACGTAGAACATTGTTGTACAAAGTGCCGATCGTTAAGAAAGGATTGAAAAATATGAGAAAGCATGGTAAAAATCTAATATTAATATACTGCCTCAAACATTTCTGTGCATCAAAGAAATTGTATAAATATCTGCGTATACAGTATAAAGTCATTTAGTTATTCTACATGCATGCTTATTAAAATTTGACACAAAACGGTCCTATTTCTGCGACAGCATCTTGTCAAGCAACATCTCGAAAAATTGATAATTACAGAGTCTCGAAAATTTGTTGAATATTTTAAAAGACTTAAAATGACCATATAATTTATAATTTATACATATGTATATAAGTTGGATATGAAAAAATAAAAGAATTAAATAATATCTCGATTTCTCATGCTCCAATCTTTTCCTTTCTATATAGATCTATTAAATTTAATGATTAATTTATTGTATTTTAGATTGAAAAGAATCTTGCATAAAAATAAATTATACGAGAATTGTTGATACTGAATATAATTTTATTATTATTAAAAAAGAAACAATATTTTTTAGATATTTTTTTAGATTTTTAATTATTATTAAAACAAAAAAATTAAACTTAAATAAGCTTCAATTAGATGTTACCAAAAAAAATATATAGAACGACTAAAATGACAATTGTACTTATATTTTAGAAGTGTTAATTATTTTGAAGTATATATAGCATTGTTATATGTATGTGTATATATGTATACGCAAGGAGTGAATTCATATTGATATGGAATTCAGTGATAATAATACATTTGATTATTCAAAAAGCAAAATAATGAATTTTCATGTTTTTATATTGTTTTGTTTGATTACTATATATATACATTACCTTTTTTAGCAAATACAAAATTATAAATAATTATAAAGTATTAATTATATTATAAAGTAATTTATATTTTTTTTTATATATCATAAAATCTTTTTTCTCATTCTTATTAAAAATCTAATTTTGCAGTGCAATTGCCTTCACAATATATATTTATATTTTTATTAAATTCTTTTTATATGAAATATATATATATATAAATATTATATACACAATTTTATTATAGATATATAATATATATGCAAATTATCAAATAATAGAAAATAAACAGTGAAACGGATCTTTCTCTCTCACAAAAAAATGTTGCCTTGGACAATGTAATCTTATTTATCTTTTTTAATACATTTAATAATTTTTAATAAATTTTTTTATATAAGAAAAATTAAAAACGCTGGAAATTACACTAATATAATGAAAATTTCCAGTATAAAGATTGTTCAATAACAAACATGTGATTATTTTTTATTTTTTAGATTAAAGGATCAGACTATGCATGATTGGACAGCCCATAGTTACTCTCGACAAAGGTACAAGAAACTCGCCAGAAAACACAGCAATGAAATTATTTCGATCCAAACTGGAACATTTAATACGCTCGACGAAGATCCAAAGAATATCTCCTCTTCTACAAATAATGTTGCTGATGGTGAAGCAATTGAAAGTTTACCTTCTCACACAAACATATTTTCTAAAATATATTTATGTGAGATGGATAAATCGACAACCGACAAGCAGAAAAACAAGCTGATAAAGGAGAAAAGTTCTAGCCCTGTTAAACAGACGTATGCAAGTTGCGCGAAAAAAACGAAGGACCTCCCGAGGAAATGCACTGCCAAGATGAATGAATCGGATCCGTGTCTGGAAGAAAATGTCAAACAATCCAAAACCAAAAGGGTCGCATCCATCGATGATACGGTAATGATTTGCAAGCCGTGTAATAAAAAATTTCCCTCGCGAAAAAGCTACTGCGCTCATGTACGCACACACACAGGAAAGAAATCGTACACGTGCCATATTTGTGGCAAGCAATTCATTCAAGGCGGTAGTATGTACTATCATCTGAAGCACGTTCACTTCGGCGTGAAGGATCACGCTTGCGATATATGCGGCCGTAGTTTCGCTATGAAGACCGTCATGGAGGACCATCGGCGTATCCATACTGGTGAACGGCCTTACGTGTGTCACATCTGCGGCAAGACGTTCAAGACTAAAGCGTCCCTTTATATACATAGCAAGACTCATACAGACGAGTTTCCGCATAAGTGCATCTATTGTGCTAAAAGATTCCGCTGGAAACAGCAGATGCTGGGTCACTTGACGGTGCACACAGGTGAGAAGAATCATATGTGCGACGTATGCGGCAAGGGTTTTGGCGTGAAGAACGACTTGACCAGGCACAAACGTATACACTCCGAGGAAAAGCCATATACATGTCAGCAATGCGGCACCAGCTTCAGTCAGAAACGTTATCTCAAAAGTCACGAACGCCTAAGATTAGGGATGTGCGGATACTCGCAAGAATCAAGTTGAGTCGAGTACGATTCGAATTAAATTCGAGTAATTGCAGATAATTCTTGATAAATCAAAAACACATTCCAAAATTATTCTCCTACAAACCTATAATCTTATAATTTTAAGTAGCATAACCGAAATTAGGATATATACCTCTATATATATATATAAACATGTGTATATACACACATATTATATATGTATATACGTTAAAAAAGAGAAAATAATTCTAAATAACGAAAATGTACAATGAAATTTTTTCTCATAGAAAATTTTGTGATTTATTATGATTAATATCAATAATAATTATAAATTATTACATTATACTATTGTATATAATTGCTATTATTATTATTATTAACTGGCGTTCGGAACTCGAAGGTTCATTGCCGCAAATACCAAATCTCGCCAATGTTCCCATCCCTGAGCAAGATCCTTCCGTCCCTCGTACCCCATTTCGTTAAAATCCATTCTAATATTATCTTTCCACCTACGTCTTGGTCTACCCAATGGTCTTTTCCCATTAGGTTTACCAATTAGTATTTTATATGCGGTTCAATCCTCACTCATACGCGCCACGTGGCCTGTCCATCTTAATCGTGATTTTATGACGTTAATTATATCTGGACTATTGTATAATCGATGTAATTCTACGTTATGCAGTTTTCTCCATTCGCTCGTCTCCTCATCGCGCTTCGCATCCACGACTTTTCGAAGTATTTTATTCTCGAATACTCTAAATTTTTTCTCGTCTTTTAACGTAAGTGACCACGTTTCGCTGCCATAAAGGACTACCGGTAAAATAATCGTTCTGTAAATTCTAATTTTTAAACGCTTAGACAACACTCGCGATCCGAGTAATTTATTAACCGAATAGAAGCAAGCATTCCCCAAATTAATTCTTTTCTTAAGCTCTTCTCTTATTTCATTAGTTTGGTTTAAAATCGAACCCAAATACTTAAAATTGCTGACCCGCTCAAACATTTTATCTCGAATGACCAAGCTTCCGCAATTATGAATACTCTGGATTCTATCAGTGACCATATATTTAGTTTTTTCAACGCTTACTTGCAACCCCAGGTTTTTTTCGTTTTATCTAATAAAGTTTTAATGTTATCAATTAATGTTACTTGTATATAATTTCTATATTAATAATAATATTAAATTATTAATTTGCACAATTATTAATTACACTATATTGTATTATATATGTATATAATGTAAGTACGTATACACGTATAAATATGTAATGATTATATATACATATATATATTAATTTTTAATTCTAGGATTAAAACGTTGTTTATGCAATAAATAACATCATTAACTGTAGCCAGTGGTCATTTAATTCTCAATCTTGATATTAATTTTTGTTACTAATAAAATTATACAATTTAATAAGTAAATAACATCCAGAATACTAAAATACAATTTCAAGAATAAAAATGTGTATATAAAAAAAATATTAAATTTATATTTTTAATTTAAATATTTTGATGCAAATCTATATCTTTTAAATAAATAGTTTTCCAATAAATATTATTATGCACTAATACATTATTCATGCACTGTAGGCAAGACTTATTTTTACGCAAAACATGAAATTATTGGGGCAGGTATCGTCAGTAAAGTATTATTGAAAATAGACATTAAAATAAATACTAAAAATAAATATTGATTTAATCATATAAATATTTAGTTTCTTCTTTATTTTGCAATTATACTTATTATTTTAATTATAAATTAAATCACGTAAAATAGGAAAAGCAATATTTCAAAGCGCAAAATACGTTTTTATTCACTAGAGAATAAAATAAGAATAAAAGTTATTGTATATATTGTATATATATAAAATAAAAAACATATCAATGCAAAAATTTACAAATATAAAGCTGTGCCGCATAGAAAAACGTAAGCAGTACGGCTTAAGACTAATGTAAAGCCTTTTAACAAATGTAAAATTATAAATAAATAATTTATATTATAAAAAAAAATCGAGAGCGAGATATATGTGAAAGAAAAATTAACTATTACATACAAATAAGATACAGATTAAAAGAATCCTGCGAAAAAAGGTAAATTATGCGAAAATTATTTATATTCGGTATAATAAATATTCACTACGTCAAGAAACCCTTTTTTTAGTTAATAAAAGATCTGTTGTGGAAATATAATTGCTTTTTCCGTATAATAAAAATTTGTATTTTTATTAAGTTTTTTATATGTATTATATATGTATAAATATTATTTATAACATATTATTTTGTATTCGGTTTTTAATAAATTTAATAATTTAATAATTAATGAATCACGTAAATTACACTAATGCAGTAAAAATTTTTATACAATAATAATTTGATAACAAACATAATAGTTACTTTTTATTTTCCAAATTGAGAAAGCAGATTAGCATAATTAAACAAGTGACCATGATTCAATAAAGTTATAAAATACTCGCCAGAAAGCACATTGCAGTAATAAAATAAGTTCGATTCAAACTGCGAATTCGATATACTCAACGAGGATCCAAAAAGTATCATTTTTCTTACATATATTGGTAACAATCTACTTTCACTACCTCACATTAATACGTTTCTTAAAATGCGTTTGTCGAAAATTGATTGTTATTTTATTAATTTGCAGTGTCATGCCTTTCCTTATAATGCCTCTCTGTCGCGTCTGATCAAAATTAATACAGCTTTCAACTGTAAACAAAATTGCAAGACGTAGAAATAAATTCAATTTTTATTAAAAATTGTATTTTTATTGTTATCTGTGACTAAAGATAAATGAGCTTTAAATATCTTTCACGATACATCATTATCTTCACTTAAATAATAGCAATACATTTACAGGATATTTGAATAATTAAAGAATGTTCTATATAAATCAAAAATAAAAAAATTAATAAACTTTTGATATAAATC